CGGATCGCTCTGCCCGGTGCGGATCGCTCTGCCCGCTGCTCGCTGAGGTCCCGAGAAGAGCGTGAGTGAGCGGCGGCGGGGAGCGATCACGTATGTGCTATAGGCGCACGTGTGTTCCCTACGCATGCTACACATTTGTCGGGCTGCGGGCTTCGCCCCGTGACACCGGGCGGCCTCGAGGGGGATGGGGCCCAGGCGAAAGGGGTGATAACGAATTAATTGTGGATGAGAAGTAATATCCGTCTTGGAGTCATCAGTCTTTGAAGCATAATTTCATTCCAAAAGCTCTTAAATGAATGGGAGATCTTATATAGGAAAGGACTGCTTTTCCCATAGGATTATCAGATTTCCACCGGAGAATACAGATCCTGGATTAGTGAGCTACATGGGATTTGCGTGTTTCTTTCTAATTAGTCTGTGAATCTGACTGTAAAATTCTTGATTTGGAAGGGGGGGATGGGAGTTATATGCTTCTAAAAGAACATGCATATCTTTTCTCTGATATTTTACGGTTTTCCTGGTTATCCTGTGCTCTGTAGATACTTACTGCCTTAATTGGATAGTGGTGTCAAAGGTTGATTAGATTCCCTAATAGATTTTGTATCTGCAAGAGGATTGCAGTTTTTAATGCGTGGTTAAAACAATCGTGTTTGCTGTCTCCCCTGGAACAGTTGAGAGGAGGGCTGATGTATTACATTTGCGTTATCTTCCCTTTGGTTTATTAATGTATGATCGTGAGGTTGTCGGCTTCGGTTTTGTTGTTGTTGTTTTTTTCCCCCTCTGCTATTTCATTTGCAGACCGAAAAGAAATGAATGTCAGAGAGGATTTGTTTAATCATTTAACAGCTGACACAAGCCATGTCCGTAACAAAACGTTGGTGAAAAAGTAGAAGATTTCTGGGACACAGCAGCGCCGGTACTGTGAAGCCGCTTCTGCAGGTCAGGAGCAGCGTTTGCTGGAGGATGCCGTAGCCCAGGAGGCGAGGCTCGCAGGGACGAGGTCGATGGCTTGCATGGAGCTTCTCTACCTGGCCGAGGAGAGCAGACAGGTGCCCCTGGGCACTGATCCAGGCTGGAGCCTGCCCTCCCATCCTTATGAGCAGCAGCAGCRCGAGGGGGATGAGGTGGACCCCAGAGCGGCCGCTGCCGTGGCAGCCCTGCACTGTGAACGGCACTGCAAGCCCTTGCAAAGGGGCCCTGTGGCTGATTCCTCCCTGGCAGCCCAGCCCCTCTCCCTGGGCACCTCGCCCCAGGAGCACCCCGCACCCTCCCAGCCCTGCCACCCAGCCCAGTGCTTGCCCAGGGAAGAGGACGGAGGGAAGAAGAAAGCCTGCTGCTGTGCCCAGGAACTTGAGACATCGTTCACCTATGTGGACGAAAATGTAAATCTGGAKCATGCAAGAAGTACCCCCACTCCTACAGGTGGCCAGGATGCCCTTTTGCAGCAGCATTCCTGCAGGGAGCTGCCACCTGAATGGGTGCACGATTCTCCTTCTTTAATCTCCGAGGAGGACGATGCTGCCTCGGAGGCAGCGGCTGGGAAATCCGTTGACTATGGGTTCATTAGTGCCATTTTGTTCTTGGTTAGTGGCATTTTGCTGGTGATAATTTCCTACGTGGTACCCAGAGATGTGACAGTGGATCCCAACACTGTGGCTGCCCGGGAGATGGAGAGGCTGGAGAATGAGAGCGCAAGGATCGGTGCTCACTTGGACCGCTGTGTTATCGCTGGGCTGTGTCTCTTGACCCTGGGGGGCGTGGTGCTCTCCAGCCTGCTGATGATGTCCATGTGGAAAGGGGAGCTCTACCGGAGGAGCAGGTTTGCATCCTCCAAGGAGTCTGCCAAGCTGTATGGATCTTTCAATTTTAGAATGAAGTCTGGAGCAAATGATAATATGCTCGAGCTGTCGYTAGTTGAGGAAGATGTGCTTGCCATAGATAATTAGTGTGGTCATGATTTTTAAGGCAGCATTTCTACAGGAAAACATTTCATTAAAGAAAGCAGATGCAGCTAAAGATAGCTGGTGATGCCATTTATTTGTCTGACAAGAATGGTTTTATCTTAAGCKCTATAATCAAATGTTTGCAATATATGARTACTTGTTGTAAAGGGGAAATGTGCCAGACGAAATGCAAATGATATAAAATAATGAAAACCACTGAATAAAAAGAGATTTGTGATAAGTAGGTTCCTCAGATACTCGTTTATCCTAATATAAAACATTCTGCTGGTGTCTTGCCTTTATAATTTTCTTATTACTCAAGAATGACCTTGACACTTTGGAAGCTGTTAATTTTTGAAGCCTGCAGGATTATTAAGTGTCTATTCTGTAGAGTGTTAAGAAACAGGACCAATAGTCAAATAGCAGGGCTAATATTTCATTGAGATGCTTTTTTATTCTTTAATTTTAAGCAGATCCCTTCTCTTCAGTTGAGTGACAGCTATGGAAAGAAAGAACACCACTTGGTCATGACTGGCCACAAACCTCACAAATTTTCAAACAATTGTACAATTAGCGATGATTATTTAAAATATAAAATAAGAGGCAAAGGGCAGGAAACCATATGGCTCATGGTATTGGTAGGAGACAAAAGGCTCTTTCAGCTTGAGGTCAGTGGCTCCATTTCAGTTCAGATTAGCAATGATTGATAGTCATTAACTTCTGATAGCTGTAGTGACCATATAAAGGAAGTTTAGTTCCTGGTGGACAGATGTCTTTGTATGAGAGCTGCCATAACATGAATTAACAGACCTCTTGTTTGGAGTCTCAAAAGACCTAAAGACTGAAAAAGCATGGGGATGCTGAGACCGGACACTTCTCCAGTACAGACACCAGAAAAAATTCAAATTCAAGCTCAGCTGCAGGGCTGTCTGCATCTTATTAGTCCTTTTTGAAACTTCAGTTTTATGTCACTAGGCTGTCAACCTTCTCATAACCAGCAAAGAAAGGTCAGGAAGGGGCTCTCGGAGACTCATTCAATAAAACCCAATTTATTTGTAGAGAATAAATCATCAGGAAATACAGAGGTTAAGTATCAGGCAGTTTACTGCCTGACATAAGACTCAGTTAACATTAGGGGATGATCAAGGGTACATGTTGCTATTAATCTCAGTTCTGTGTCACTGTAGCCAAAAACCTAAAGCTATTTGCTTTATTGTCAACCAGTTTCTGTGGAGCATTGACGTGTTCTTGCAGAGCTGGGAAAACCGACAGAAATTGTTCTATGCACCAGTGTCAGTTCTTACTGAGCAACGGTTAATACATATATATGTGTGTGTATATATGTATCTGTGTCTTATTAATATGTATATGTACATTATATATGTATGTGTCCCTGACAAAGCCAAACATGGGTGAAGAGCTCTGACTGTGCAGTCTCTGACTGCAGTCTCAGAAGAAACATGTGACAGCCTTCTCAGTTGTCAGTTAACTCTCAAACATCAGGAATATGAATTATTTTTTAAATGATACATTTTTTTTCCCACTGTGACACACAAGTTCTCTTGGGAAGGGATGAGGACATCTCCTTATAGTCCTTTTACCTAGGAATGTATGGCAGCACAAAGTTCAGAGTAACAAGTGGATGGTGGAAATGTGAGTTCCTCACAGAGAAACTGAACGCTATTTTGCTTCTTGGTTCTTCATTCCCCTTCTCCGGCTGTTTTCAAGCGAGACAAGTGCAGCCCCCGGGTCTGACTCAGCCTGCTCAGTCCCTTGTGCTGGCAGCTGTCACCAGGGCCCAGGGAGCCACCCTGCTCCGGGTTYGTGCCTTTGGTCAGTAATTACCACAGTGTGGTACTCAGGCTTTAATGCCAGCCCCACAAAAGAGATCCTGCTTCACATGTTCTCTGCTCTAGCTTCATGTCAGTGTTTCTCATTAAATGAGCTGCCTTATTAGAGGGTGCTGCTGTCCGGTAGATGATTCTCCCAGTTTATGTCGTGATACACAGCGTGTTCACAGGCAGTACTCAGCAGTGACCAGCATCTCCACAGTCATCTTTGAAGAGTTTACATCCTCCTGGATGTGTCTTCAGGGATTTTGGATTGGATCTCTAGGGTAAATACATGAAATGTCTTCTTATGTCTGGAAGCTGCCTTCAGCCTGTTGTGATGAGGACAAGTGAGGAAGGAACTARCCTGAGAATCTGGATGCAGAGCAGGAAAGTTCCTCCCTCGCTTGCCTTGGCCTGCTGGGTGTGTGGACGCTGCKTGCAGAGCTTGACACTTTGCTCAAGGTGGGAAGGTGGGAACAGTGCTTCCTTTCACCCTGCCCCGAGGATTGAAGGGTTGCCATGGCCTCCACAGGTGCAGGGAAAGCTGTGCCAAGTGAGAGCACAAATGGTGGAGCTGGGGTCAGCAAGACAGTGAAGGGTTGGGGGTGGATGTCTCGGGGGATGGAAACCCTTTCATCTGCTTGGGCCCTGTGGTCTCACCTACATGACAGAAACTCTAAAACTGAGGCTGGTGATTTTGAGAGCTATTATTTTTATTTTTTAACTATACATATGCATGAAATCGGAATACATTCCATTATTGCCGAAAGATGACAGCTTAAGCTGTATGGATCACGGATTTCTTGTAGGAACCATGACATGCCTTAATGCTGATTATTAGCTCTAGAAAAAGGAACGCTCCCCTGACTGTCAGTGTGTTATTGTCAAGTGAGAAGTCTTCTGACACTTTGTAAAATGCCTGTCACAGATCATGAACCTGCAATACTTTAATGAGCCCTGAAATTTTCCCTGAGCATTTTAAGGAAATATTAGTCAACCTAATAATCTAAATACACACTGCAAAAGTGTGAGGAGTAAGAAAATTTAAACGACAGGACTAACAGAGTTTCTTTGTTTTGGTATAAGTGTGTGCTACGAAAGAGCTGAAGGAAGGCCTTCAGAGTGCAGGAATTTAGCAGATTAAAATGTTCAGGACATTTCTCTGATCACCTTTACAAATTGCAGCACTGTGTAAGTTGGCAGTGCAATATAAAACCTCTGGACTCTCAGGTTCTCGTGCTGTGAAACCAAACACAGACAGAAACCAAAGCACTTGCTGTCTGGTGGCTGATGGTGGAAATGAATGTCCGAGCCCACTGGTGAGTGGACAGACCTTCACATGGCTCACCTCGCACGGGACAGTACCAAAGGGTGAGGCCTGGGGACACCGACTGCCCTCTCATGCACCCTCGCAATTTGACTCCCCCTGCTCAAAATTTAAATGCTTTAAAGGTAYAAATGTGAGAAAAATTATTGGTGTTGTTTTCATTGCATTGGCTAAAGTTGTCACTTGAATCGTTGGAGAGCTTTCTCTTTTGGGGAACTAAATTTTGGCATATACCAAATCGATTTTCGGTGCTCTCTAAACATATCAGCATTCCGAGTACAGATTTCCGAGTACCCTGGAAACCGAACAGGATTTGTGCCCTTAATGAGTTTATTTCTGACCACCCCAGCTGTCAAATGTGACACTTTGCCATTTTCTACCTCATTTTGACCCAGCCTCTGCCTTCRCACTGGAGGTGTCCGGGAAGGGAGGTTTCCCCGCAGGAGGCGGCAGCTGCCAAGCGTGCGCGTCCCTGCAGCTCCAACAGCTCCCTGGTGACCCTGTCCACAGTTCTTTTTCTCAGTCAGGTGCTGTGGCTGAGGCTGGACATTGACACCTGCAGGGGATGCCCATGGGAGTGGAGTGGAGGCCGTCACTGTCCGGTCCCAGCCCCAACGCCGCCGGGTGCCCAGCGTGGCTCCCACCAGCCTGAGCCGGCCACGTGGCAGAAATGCCTGAGACTCTCCTAGGAGGCTACGCTGGGTTGTTGCTGGTTTTTTATGTGTTTACAATTTTTTATTCTTTGTAAATTCTTTCAAAAATCTGTCTGMAATGAGTATAAAGTTTACTAAGAAAGTAAATGGTTTAATCTTGTAAAACTCTTTGACCCACAGCAGGGTGAAGCATCGCAGTCCATCGTGAGCTGTTCAATAGTGCGTTTGATGCCTTATTACAGTCGCAGCCATGTTCTGTACAGAGCGAAAAATAAAAGTCTGTGAAGCTGAGTGCTGTTGTCATGGGCCTTTTTTTTGCCTTGCTGATTCTGGTGGCTGGCACTTGCCCTCTGTGCCATGGGTGCAGTCCCTCGTTCTCAGTGGCCAGGAGCCCACCTGGCAGAGGCAGTGCTGGACTGGGCTGTGCCAGCACACCAAGCCCRTCCCCAGCTCACCCCTCCATCCTKCTCCCTGCTGCTCATCCTTCCCAGACAGAAGTGCCAAGCAGTGCAGCGTTTCAAACCCTGCTGTGCCTGTGTCCCACCCAGCTCCACAGAACCAGAAGAAAAAAGAGAAAAGGTGGGTGGGGGCATGCAGGGCTGGCTGAGCAGGCAGCTGGGGAGGTGCTGTGTCAGGAGGKGGGTGTTGAGTCCCTGTTCACCATCACCACGTGCATGACCACTTCTGTATCACATCCTCAAGTTGGCCTGGCTCGCTTGAGGCCAGGGCAGGAGGGCAGAGGGTCCTGAGCCCARCGCCAGCCATGATAATGATGGGTGGGCATGCAGTTTCCAGAAAACACTGGAGGTGATGGGTGATGCAGGGAGATGCAGGAGCTATGTTCCTGGAGATCTGTGGGCTGGGCATTGCCCCCTCAGTGTGTCAGCTTCACCTCCTCCTCCAGAAGAGCTGTGCCACCGTGGCCAGCAATGGGAGGGTGCAGAGCCAGCGGCTGAGCTGTAGCTCCAGGGAGCCACAGTTTTCCCCTGGCTTTTTTTGTTTCTCTCAGATCTACAGTGTATGCCAGTTGATCACCTTAACTAGCTTTGACAAGCTGTACTCCCTCCCAAACACGATTCAAAGGCTGTACCACACAGGTTGTGCCTTGCGAGGTCACTTTTCATTCTGGTGTGACAGGATYAGACCTTTCTGTGCCCCTGCCTGTGAATCACACGTGGGTGGGAGCGCTGTGCTGGGGTGGATCCAGGCTGGAGCAGGCGCTGTCTGCTCACATTACCTGYTCCCACAGAGCAGAGTACAGCAGGGCAATTGGGGTTTCAGGCTGTTGCTGCCACAGCAGTAATAAATGTGTCCCAGAAGTGGCCAGATTGGCTGCGGTGACTGTGCTGATGCCAAATGCGGACTATGGTGCACAACTGATGGTTAGCAAGAGGTTAAGAGATTAGATGTATTTATAGATATGACAATCCATCAGCTTAAAGAACTGAGAGGCTTTCTAACTGAAAGCAAACACACAAATTCATTTTTACTCTTTTTACAGGTTTCTTCTTAACCGTACCATTTTATATTTTGAAAGATTCAGTGTCATGTACTGTATTCACAGGGGCTTTTTTTTTCCCCGTGTTTTTGAGTCCTGGCAAGGTCAAGAGGCTGCATGGAGGTGAGATTTCTCTGATTTTCTTATCAGTTTAAGTTAAATTGTGGATGTTATAAAGCTGCATAAAACGAAACAAGAACCTCTTATTTGAAATGAATCTGCTTAATATTTGTTTGTGTAAATGTAAATGCACTGCCCATGGTAGAAACTGAACCAAATAAGGCACATTTTAATTAAATTTTCAGTAAAAATTCATAGAATACAGCAGACTTGCTGTATTAAAATCTTGTAAAGAACTCTCTGTTTATTTATGTGTAGATTTATTTGCCCACTGTTAYGTGTAGTAAAAAATACTGAGCTACTGCCATTAACTGAGCTGCACCTGACAGGCATTTGGCCATTGTTGTTAATGAGAGCATTACAACCTAACACAACCTAAGGTGTGGTTTTTGTTCACCTGCAACCARTGTGTAACCCATAGACCACCGAAAGTTCTTCCATCTACATGGAGAAAGGGGATGCTGAGCAGCAGGAAACATAATGTTCTCAAAAAGTCTCCTGCACGCAAATACCAAAGGTCTTTATAGGACAGAGAGTGCTCCCATTGTACAGATGAAGTCAAACACCTCTCTGCCCAGAGAGCCACCTGGAGAGCTGGAAAACCAAGGCTTCTTAAGTCCCAGTCCAACCCTGCAGAAACGTACAAAATCAGTGGAATAAATGAATCCTAAAAGGATCTCTTTTTTTTTTTTTTCCTGGAGGATGACATTTGCATTTAATTTAAAGTACAAAATAATTTTAAAAAATCAAGAAAAATCAACCCAAACTAAATTTGCTAATATCTGGAGGTATTTGGGTAAGGTTTTGTATATTTAAGGCATTTGTATTTGGTTATTTTTAAGGCATAAATAAATCAATAGGCTTCTGTTGAAAGAATAAAACCGATATCTTTATATCAGCACAAAAGGCTTCTCTTTTCCAATGACTGTTTCTGTTTTGACAGATGTGTATGCAGGGAAATTTAGYTATTGTTGAATAAAACATTTCCAGAAGCAAAATTGATTAAGTCCCTTTTGTAGAGGAAAAAATCAATTCTTCCCATTAGAAGGATCTAAAAGATGTTGATCAGCTGGAAATGTAAATAAAGTTCTTTAATCACTATTCTCCAACTGCAGTGTATCCATCTACATGAGATTGTCTTGCCTCCTTACAGCTTAAAATAAATTTTGTTGAACTCTAACATGAAGCAGCTTCTGACAAACTAGCCAGAGTAACTGTGCTTGAATGTAAATAATGTCAAGTAGCTATCCTGACATTTTGGTATTGCTTTYCTCAAGGATTAGCTGTTCATGAAATGAATGTTTGTGTGATAACAATATACCCAGGCTGGGAACAAAAATATATTCACTGAAAGGCAGAGCAATAGAAAGTATGTGACTGTTTTCAGTCGGTTTCTGTGTATTCTGACTTCATGTAATAAAGACAGCACTTTCAAGATCTCTTGATTAGTAATTGTTGAGGGCTATTAAAGGTCACGGAGGGCTATTAACAGAAGGATGCCAAGTCTCTAGCTCTGTAAGTCCCTAAGCTTCTGATTGCTAAGAGCTGAGAGACTATGCTGGTGTATGCTTGTCGTACCCTTGGTTTTAGATAAAGCTGTAGCTGCTGCAGRCTGCTATCTGAGCCTATTTTGTGACAGATGGACCTTTGATTTGATCCAGACTGACCCTGTGTTCTCAAAACTCTGTGCTCTGCCTATAGCAGCAATGCCAAGTAGTTGTTTGCCACTGTGGCTTCCTATAGAAGGAATCAATAGGTCACGGTCTTACCTTTGTTTTTCCCTCCTTACAGGAATGGTAGCCATGGCTGGRAGAGCTCTTGAGAGGTCATTTTCCAGTCTTCTGGAACTTTCACCCTCCATCAGTCCTCAGAGATGATGGATTGCTCATGGCTGTGAAATTGCTGCTCAATTCTCTGAGCACTCTGGGTTGAATTTTATAAGGCTCACATGATTTRCAGATACATTATGTATTTATGCAATCTCTTCTGCTCTCTACCAGCCTAAGTTCTTAAGTTCTGAAGTCAATGGGTAGTCCGAATACTTTTAGATTTTTTTAATGAGGGAAAGAAAGGTTGAAGCACTTCAGCCTTCTCAACGTCATTTTCAATTGTGCTCCTGTCTTACTCCCCACAAAGCAAAAAACCTGTCCTTTCTTTGTCTTTTTTCTTCTTTSTAGTATAAATATAGAGCACATTCTCATGACCTTTTTTCCTCTTCTATGAGKATCTCACTTGCTTACCCCTCCAAAAGAAAAGAAAATTATTATTTATATGTTCTAATTTCCCCAGTGGGGAAATTTCTTAAATTTTAGGTCACTGTTATGCTTAGCCAAATTAATGTTTACAATTTTTCTTTTTCTTTCACATTTTCATATTTCACATGTKGTATTTTGTTTCCTTAATTTTGTTTAAGAATTTGCTGAATTTCCTGAATGTCTTTTTCCTTTCAATTTCTGCTATGTGAGAGCACAGTAACTAGTGCTTTGAATTTACTGATGTTTTTTGATCCTTGGGACCATTTCTCTGGGGACAGAAATATTCTGCTGTAACAGCCCTATATTGTGGGAATTTTTTTTTTAAAGGTTGAGCCTGGTGAACAGCCTGGTGACTGCATTCCCCACTCCTGCCCACCTCCAGTGGATTCCCACTCAGCTTTTCTTCAGTGTGGGCAGCAATGGTCCAAGATGGAGATTTTGTCAGTCTTGCTCTTTGAGCCAAGCCATGTTGCTAAGAAAAATACTATGGGTTTGTCTGTGGGATCAAATTACAATGCACAGCTATTGAGATGGGAAATATCTTCACTTAAACTTCACAGCATATTGAAACCAGTCTTAGCAGAGAGGCGAGTTAGAAGCAAAAATCAATATTGGGCAATGCTGAAATGCCTCTGTTCAGCTGCTGTTTTAAGTGGCTTGCACAGACCTTTCAAATCATGTTGCCAACAAATGGAGGAAATACAGCTTTTAAAAAGTCAGAGAATTATTAATAGTGTGYTTGACCTCCAGCTCTGCACAGTCTACAAAAAAAGCATCATTTGTCATRTGCTGCTGCCTTATGCCTAATTCTGCAGCCCCTGTTGGGAAGCAGTTATGCATAGGAGAAGTGCATTGAGAGAGTGAGGGTCAAAGCTTTAGATCCATGATGGACTGTGGGGGGGGGGGAAGAAGAGCAGGAACAGTTTGTGGTCAACCCCTGAGCAAAAAGGGGGGGGATGCAGGAGCCAAACACCTCATACATCATTCCCATGCTAATGGTATTTCTTGTCCTGGTGTGTGAGAGAAGAGCATTAACTGTGCTGAGGTTACACTTGCAGCTTTCCAGCAGGGATAGAGAAATATGGAGAGGAGCAAATGGCAGATGTCTTCATGAGAAAATGAATGCTGTAGCCACTCTCCTGAAGTCTGGGGAGTGATTGGGGGCCCAGCATTTCCAGCTGGGCTCCCTAGCAAGCTGGTCTGCTGCCCAGCATTTGTAGCACAAAGGAGCAGTCTGAACCTTTATTAACTTTAACCACTGTCTGAGTAACCTAAAGTGACAATCCATCTCTCTTATTGCTGTTATTAAGTCAGCTTTGGACAATGCCTTATCATCTGCAGAAAAAAAAAAAAAAAAAAGAGAGATATAATGCAGCCAGCAAGTTTCTAGGTAAAATAAGATT